CCCCAAAACCCCAAAACCCCAAAACCCCAAAACCCCAAATTCTCATAAAAAGGTTGCAACCATAGGATTTCCTAATCATTAATTAAAATGAAAGCAATAGGCTCAGTTTGCAAGAAGATTTTCAAGAAGAAAAGAGGTAGAGGCTCTAAGCTTGCTCTCTGACGTACTATAGAGACTGATATCGATGCAGAATTATTATTAGCTTATTCTTTACAAGTATGAAGTGACTTTTAACCTTCATAGTCGGACAAAGAGTTGACTAAGATAGACTACTCATCAGTGTTGGAGAAAGAGCATTCCATAACAGGTGATCCATGCCCCAACAGAGTTCCTACCTACAGATATTTCGGTATATCAGCTATATTATCATCTAGATGGGAGTTGGAAAGAAGTTGATCCTCAGGAGGAAGAATTCAATTCAATGAATACAAAATCTCTGACCTTCTACACTCAAAATATATGGTTTGAGAGTCATAATGCAGCCGAACGCTTCGAAACTCTGGTCCAAATGGCACTAGACACAGATGCAGATTTTGTATGTTTCCAGGAAGCAACAGGGCCATTCTTGAAGGAACTAACAGAAAATGAGGTAAACTCACCCTTTACTTGTAGGGAATTCGAAAGAAATATTATATCTCAGGCAATGGTATCAGAGGATATGGAGTAGTAATAATCTCTAAACTCCCAGCTTACTTCTTTGAGTTCAAGTACGAATGCACATCGATGGGTAGAAGTCTCTTGGTCGGTGAAGTCTCTATAAATTCTGACGAGAATGAAGATTCTACATTTTTAGTAGGAACCTCCCACCTTGAGAGCCTTAATAACGCTGCTTTGAGGAAAGACCAAATGGAGTACTACATAGATCCAATTTTGGGCAAATATGACTCTATATTCATGGGAGATTTTAACTTCATGTACCACTGGAAAAATGAAGAGGATACTCTAAGTACATAACATACAATCCTTCATTCGTCCTGACCAATCTCCTAACTTTTCTATAGACAGGGAACTCTTCAGCGATATGTGGGAAGAGCTCAGAGATTCTTCTGAAGAGCAATTTACTATGTAAGAAACTTGCTTAAAAACATAGGTTCAAGACTCCAGAGTATGCTGAAGTGACTTTCGACCACATTATTCTATCACTAAAATCTAAATTTCGTCCAGAATATATCGAGAGAGTCGGGGTATGCCTTATCTTAAAATTTTAGAACTTCTCTTGAGATGCCTACAAAGAACAAGATCCAAAGGATATTAATACTGATGGAGTTGTCAGAACTCCTTCTGATCATCTTGGCTTGGTCGGAGTGATTAATCTCAAGGAGTAAAGTTTCGATTGTTTCAGCTTATTATTCCAAATATTAGCCATGAAAGCATCTTTCAATAATTTTTGCCTGTAAGGGGTTTTGGGGTTTTGGGGTTTTGGGG